AATTGATATGCAAAGGCCTATTAGTATCAGGTGTAAAGCAAAGTGACCAATATTGAAAATGTTTTAATAAAGCAACACTGCACAGGGGTGTGGGCAGATCTTTCTAAACAGCTCTTACAGCATACAACTAAATCTTCTCTCTTCACAATTTCCTTAGTTCATTTAGCTCAAATGTACAAGATATCCTGATCATTCTGATTGAAAGCCGGCAGGTTTCTTTGTTTGTTTGTTTGTTTTCATTTGTCTCCTCTTGGTTTCCTCTCCTACTTTTTACATCAAGGCAAACTTCTTTAGAAACCAAGGAAAATGGATAAGCCTTCCCAGCCTGTGCCTCCCAGGCTGAGGAGATTAATTTCTTGGCATAACCAACTAATTGAGAAGTTGTGCCTAGGTCTATTTCTCATTTTCTTGACTTTCTTCAGATAACATTTTTCTTCATATACCAAGCTTTTTCAATTATTGACCTACAGGTTTCATTTCTATCTCCTCTCCAAAATCACATACTCTCTATTATTTGGATCACCAACCAGATGCCTCAAAGAAGTAACTTTGTGTAAAACATCAGACTGGCTAAACCTTGGTCTTATGAGGAATATTCTCCTTTCTGAAATCTGAAACTTGGAGCTTCCTGGTACTTTATTCAGCGCTCTTACTCTCTACTCTTTTTACTCATACCCCTCACTTACTTTTTTTTTCTTTTGCTTACTAGAAACTGCCAGGAAAATTTATCGTCCCTTCAAAAATTACTCCTCTTTCTTCATAGTAGTTATATTCAACTCCCAAAAGCCAGACTTAAAATCTTGAAGCAATTTTAAAAAGTTTAAACTTTTCCACTTTTCTCTATATCACATACTTACTCAATTACAAAGGCTTAATGGATCTGCTCAGAGAGCCTTTCCCATCCATTTACTTCTTTCCACTCTCTCTATGCTGCTTTATGCTTGCCCCTCTTCCTAGCATTCTCTCAATACTAGATTTTATTTTATTTTATTTTATTTTGGTGGAGGGCAGAGAAAGAGGGAGAGAGAGAGAGAGAGAGAGAGAGAGAGAGAGAGAGAGAGAGAGAATCTTAAGCAGGCTCCACGCCCAGTCTAGAACCCAATGCGAGCTCCATCTCATGACCCAGAAATTGTGACCTGAGCCAAAATCAAGAATCCGATGCTTAACCACCCAGGCCTCCCACCATTCTGTATTTTAAACATTAAATATTCATAACTGTGAGTGGTTTATTTGCCTTTCAGGATTAGGACTTAAAAAATAAATTGACTTAGAGTAATGTAGGAACTTTTTAAAGACTGGCACTTTACAGTTTATTGGGTGCAACTGTAAGAACTTGTCACAGCCATGCCATCTTGTAATTAAAAGTTTCTGTTATTTTTGAAGTACGGCAAGAGGATTCTGAGTCATACATTGGATAATAAAATGTAGAGCAAACATTTATTCACTTGGGTAAATACTGCTTAGATGGAATTTTTTTTTTTTTAAAGATTGTACTTATTTATTCATGAGAGGCACACACAGAGAGAGAGGCAGAGACATAGGCAGAGGGAGAAGCAGGCTCCATGCAGGGAGCCCAATACTCGATCCTGGATCCTGAGATCACGCCCTGAGCTTCTGAAGGTAGGGGTTCAACCGCTGAGCCACCCAGGCATCCCATAGATGGAATATTCTTGAAAACTCTTCCTGCTAAATTAATCTTTTGGACTATTTTTTTTCCTCTTGTATGTTCTCTCTTATGCATTGGTTATGACAAATTGAAATTTTAAATATAGTTTCCTTTGTGGTGAATTCCTTTGCTTAGCCCAGAAAGTTAACAAGGCTAAGGACCCTGGTCTGATTTCCCAATGGATCAGTTATCATCATGCTAGTAGTCTGTAGTCACAGACTGTCCTTCAAATCACGGCCAACCATTTCATAGATGTTAGTCATGAACGAGACAGAAGAGTGGAGTCAGAATGGCTTGGGAGCAATTCATTCTCAAACAAGTTAAGGCATGTGCTCTACCAGAAATGGTTCAGGAAGTTTGTCCCATTTCATATACAAGTAACATACATACACATAATAATATACAAGTATTTAATTTCCATAATTTGTTGCAGATTGCATTTCTCTGGCTCTCAACAGCGTTAGCTGCTATAGTTTTCCATCTTCTTTCTCTGGTCTTTAAGTTGGATGGCTTATTGAATTTACATTAATTTGTTTTTTTTTTACTATTACCCCACTTTAAACTGCAAGAGGAGGAGGAGGATTCAGAGGCAGGCTAGCAACTACAGGCTAACATTTGAACTTGCTAAGTAAGCAACACTCCTCTACTCTCCACTCTTCAAGATGTTTACCCTCTGGTGACATCTCCATATACTACCTGCAATTCTTGATGTCTTTATCAACGTTGTTGATTTTAACTGTATCAGCAGCAAACATGAAGAGGAGCAGAGATGGCACTCTTACAGGGGAACTCTTAGCCATTGCCCTATTGAACTGTCGCAAACTATAATTTCTTGCAAACTCAAATTTCTGAACTATAAATGAGGATGACATTTGTCTACAGTTATTGTAAGGATTGCCACACTGTTTGGCACATGGTGGGTGTTTGTAAACGTCACTGTTATTATTTATTTAATTTTGAGGTGAAGTGTCAAACATGATAACATATTAAAGTGCTCCAGGGACGCCTGGCTAACTCAGATTGTGGAGGGCAGGAGTTATGCCTATCCTCTATCTTGGGTTGTGGGTTCCTGCCCACATTGGATGCAGAGATTACTTAAAAAAATAAAATCTTAAAAAAAATAAAGTACCCCTTAAACCAGCTTTCACACTAGGAAAACTTCCCTTCCAACATAATCTTGGGGGGAATGTTATGAACACTATGGAGCAGTGCCGTCCAATGAAAATACAGTGCTAGTCACATAGGTGACTTTAAGTATCTTAGTAACCACATAAAAAAGAAAACAGATGGGGGATCCCTGGGTGGCTCTGTGGTTTGGCGCCTGCCTTTGGCCCCGGGCGTGATCCTGGGTTCCCGGGATCGAGTCCCGCGTCGGGCTCCTGGTGTGGAGCCTGCTTCTCCGTCCTCCTGTGTCTCTGCCTCTCTCTCTCTACATCTATCATGAATAAATAAATAAATAAATAAATAAATAAATAAATAAATAAATAAATAAATCTTTAAAAAACAAAAGAAAACGGATGAAGTTAATTTTAATATTATATTTTATTCAAATATAAAAATCTTATTCTAAAATGTAATCAGTATAAAATTATTAATGAGGCATTTTTACATTAAAATTTTCAAACTAAGACTTTGAAATTCAGCATGTTTTTTTTTTTTTTTTGAACTATAGTATCTCAACTTGGGTACTAAGTTTTCAATGGTGAAGTGAAATGTAGTTCTACTCAAAGTTTTGTTGAACACAAATGTTACCCTGCTTCGGCTTGTAAATGTCAATTAAAATGATACAAGGCAATTCAGTGCCTTAGTCACAGTAGCCATATGTCAAATGTCCCATAGCCGTATGTGGCTAGTGGCTACCATTTTGGTCAGGGCAGTATTGGACCTTCTCTAGAAGGCTGTTGTACATTTAGGAGATTCATGGAGTTCATTCTTGCTTTACATGACCCCTGGTTAAAAACTGTCCTTTTCACTTTTTATAACCCAGTTAGTTGGGTTGCTCATTGGTTGAGTGTCTGCTTTTGGCTAAGGTGGTGATCCTGGAGTCCTGGGATCAAGTCCTGCATCAGGCTGCTCGCAGGGAGCCTGCTGCTCCCTCTGCCTGTGTCTCTGCCCCCCCGCCCCCCCCCCCGTGTCTCTCATGAATAAACAGAATCTTTAAAAAGAAGTCAACAAGTTACTTTCTGTATATTCACTGCACATTATTTAAGTTTGCTTATGAATAAATTCCTTGGGATAAATCCGACAACTTTATAGAAACTGAAAAGTGGGCTATACTGATTTGTTGGACTTCGAAAAAAAATAATGAGGAAACACTGGTTAAACGGCTTTTGGCCCTTGCTCTCTATCCCTGTATTCTGGTCTGATCACAGAATTTAACTTCTAGATATTATGGGTTACCGGGTTCCACCTTCCCGACACGTAAACCTCAGGGTCCGCACCTTTTAGGGCATGTAAAGCTCTCTCCAAAAACCAGGCAGTAGCCGCTGAACTTGCATAGCTAGGGATTCATCCAAAGCCCCCTCCTATTTTTAGCCGGAACAACTGCTTGCCAATTCATTTCTGGAGAGAGACACGCATCCGTCACAAAACAGACACGCGGAGCGTACCTCGGCCAGGTACTGCTCGAAATCCCCTGCCTACTCCCACCCACCGAAACTCGGAAGCTCAATTGTTTTCCTGCGCCGGCTGCAGCGCGCCCCGGCAAGCCCGCGCGCCTCCCTCCCGCGCGCCCGACTCCGCCCGCCCCCGGCAGCCCTGCACCGCCGGGGCAGCCCTGCGCCGCCGGGGCGGGGCCGGGAGCGCGGGGGGCGTGTCCCCGCCTGGGGGCGGGGCCGGGGAGTGCGAGAGGGCGGAAGTCCCCGGGGGCGGTGGGGCCGGCGCGCGCGCCCCGAGTCACTTGTCAGCGCTCGTCTGAGGCGGCGGCTGCGGCGGCTGCGGCGGCGCTGCGGGCTCGAGGTGAGTGGCCGCCGGGCGGGGATGCGCGGCTCCCGTAGCCAGCCCGGAGGGAGGAGGGGGCGAAGCGGTCTCCCTGCGCCCGGGGCGCGGGGGGCCGCGCGGCTGTGGAGGAGGAGGAGGAGGAGGGGGCGCGCCTCGCGCGGGGCCGGCTCCTCAGGTGCTTGCCGGAGCGGCGGAGGTGAGAGCCGCGTGGGAAGACGAGCTCCCGGGGAAGGGCGGCGCGGGAGCGGCCGCGGGGCCGGAGCGCGAGCGCTGCAAGTTCCCGGAGCCCGGGTGGTCCGGCACGAGCGCGGCGGCGGCCGGGACCCGCCGCGACCCGCCGGGCGACTGGGCGCACCCACGTCACGCGCGAACCTCGTGGGGCGTGAGGAGCGGGGCTCACCGCGAAAGGCGGGTTATTTCTGTTTGTTTGCTTTCTCGCTCCTGAGACGTGTTTATTTCCCCTCAGATATTAGAAATTGTGTACTTGTTTGGGCAAACTGCCGTGCGACCTGAAAGAAAGCTTTTTAAAAAAAAAAAATCTGTGGTAATCTCCAGATTTGTTAATACTGAGGACTTGTTGGGACTTCTGTTGAGGCTGTGCCTTCGGTGCGTTTGGTGACAGAAGTGGAAAAGGAAGGGCGTCTGGACCGGGCAGAGGTAGGAGCGAAAATTCGCGGCCGCGTTGGGCAGGGCAGGTCCGGGGTGTGATCGCCCGCTCCCCTCCCGCGGCCGCCTTCCCGACCGTGAGGGCGTCGGACCTGCCCGCCGCGGAAACGGCCCGCTCCGGAGCCTTATTTGGCGAACGGGGCTAGGCGTGAACCTCTTCTGGAAAACTGCCTCGTCGACGCCTCTCATAGTGTGCGCGCCCGTAGCTTGGGTTCTTCAGCCCCGTCTCCGTTCTCCCTCAGTTTGGGAAAAGAGAATCGCAAGATACTGCTTGTTCTTCAGACCGTTCTTGTCACTGTGAGTTGCCCTTTCCGCCTTCCCGCTCTCCGAAGAGGCGAAGAAGCCGGGGTGGGGGGGGGGGGGGCAGCGGGTGGGGGGTTAGAAGTGTGGGAATTACCAAGCTTCCTTCCCAAGGGAGAGAGCGAAGACATTGTTTAGACTTTGCCCCGAAGAAAATTCCCAAGCTGTGTAGAGAAGGTCCCAACATTTCCTTCATGTTGGAAAGCAGAATGGGCTGCTCGCTGTTTCCTGCCTGCTTAGTATTTCAGGAGGAGTTTTGGGCACCAATAACCAGACGGAGGAGAGCTGGAGAAGGACAGTGAGAATATTACCATTGCTTAGGGATCAGAATGTTTTTTAAGGCAAGTGAAGCTAGCCGAGGGAGAATACTAGAAGTGAAATGACATGGTTCTGTAGTGCGGCTGTGACCTTGCCAGGGCTAGCAATTCTAATAAACGAGGTAGGTCAGGAAGGGAGTTCCCAAGTAAAGGGAAGTTGTACGTACGTGGTTTGATATATAAATTACATACATTCTCTTGTAGGGAATAATGGGGACGGAAGAAGTTGAGCCTAACTTTCACATTCTTCTCTTGATACAAGTTAAAGATTAAAAAAGGAGGGGGCAAGCTGCCTGTGAAATATCTGTCGGCTCTACACACTTCTGATTTGTATCATATAATTCCAGTGTCAGGGCGGTCTTTATTAGTTCTATGAAAATCTTTTATTACAGCAGGAAAGCAATTAAATTATGTATGGCTCTTTAATTTTTTCTACTTATTTGTTCATATGTATCTAACAGTTTGACTTCTGGAATGGCCAGTGGGTCTTTTAGGGCCCTGTGCATATTACATCAGTCCTGAATTTGTCCTACCATGCCAGTGTAAAAGCTCATTTCTTTTCTGGTTAGATGCAGTGTAGATTTTTATTGGTTTAATTTTTCTTTAAGGGCCAGACTTGAAAGTTTTGCCTCATTTTCCCCTTATTAGAGGATGTAATCTGTTTGTTTTTATTATACACAGTAGTTCAATATCTACATTTGCCAATATTAATTTGGTGTAATGGGATCAAAGATTTGAATGGGTTAAAAAAATGGAAAAATGTTTTAATGTAAGTAATATAAGGTGATGATTTAGTTCAACAGCAAAGATTGTCCAAGCAAGTGTGCCTTCAATGGTTTTAAAATTATTAAATTATACATCTGTTGTATTTTCAATATTTTTATTTTTTTAAGGTTTTTTAAATTTATTCATTAGAGACACACACGGGGGCGGGGGGGGGGGAGCAGAGACACAGGCAGAGGGAGAAGCAGGCTCCATGCAGGGAACCCCATGTGGGACTCAATGTGGGACTCGATCCTGGGTCTCCAGGATCATACCCTGGGCTGAAGGCGGCGCTAAACTGATAAGCCACCAGGGCTGCCCTTTAATATTTTTGAAGAGAGAAATGTTTTATAGCATTACATTTTAGAAAATATCCATTTCTTCCAATTTCTCCCACCACACATAAACATCACATCAACCAATACCAAACTCAAAGTCACACTTTTTATTTTTATTTTTTTTAAAGATTTTATTTATTTATTCATGAGAGACAGAGAGAGAAGCAGGCTCCATGCAGGGAGCCTGACATGGGACTCGATCTGGGACTCCAGGATCAAGCCCTGGGCTGAAGGCAGGCGCTCAATTGCTGAGCCACCTAGGCGTCCCCACACTTCTTTTAATTATATAAAAGTCCAACCATGAGAGTCATTGTGGGTGTACTTAGAGCAAAACAAAAAAGACAGCACTGAAGTGCTGCTTTTTTTCTAAAGCTCCAATTCCCTTTCATACATTAAGATTAACCTTAAATTCCTACCCTATTTAGTCAGTCTCATTCACTGGTTAATGCTTTTTCTTTACTTTGCCTGATGTGGTGTGTATGTAAAACAAGAAGCGGGTTCTCATTGAAATACCAGTGCTAGAATATTGCCTATCATTGCCTGTCTAAAGGAAAAGTAAATATTGCTCTAAGTGTGGAAAATATCATGTTCCTATAAGAGGAAATACAAGTTGTAATTTATGATTGGAGAGAATAGTTTTGTGCATTAAGAAACAACTTACTTTATAGAATTTTGTATGTGGAAAGCATGAATAAGAATCTATGGATTTGCAGTCCTTTTCATATGTGAGAGTAGCTTAGAATTTAAGGTTTCTTGCCAGCTGCAGGCTAAAGAGTGCATGAGGTAGAGGGGAGGGGAAAATAATTTTGAGTTAAGCCTGAAATAAAATCTTCTTTCTCCTCTGTATAATGAAGTGTTGTAAAGTACTTTGAGTTAAAGTTTGTATGCAGGAAGCCACAAATTGTACTGTAGCAAGTTGTAAAACTGATCAAGTGCCTAGAAATAGATTCTGATATGGAATTTTTAGACTATGGAAATTGGCATCAGTTTAGAATTTGTATATTAGCTCATAGATTCCTTTTTCTGAAAAGACTGAAGTGAGAACTTAATATAGACTTAAACCTCTATATTTTCTCATCCCCCCAAAACAGAATATTGAACATAATTTAGTTGAGTTTATATTAAATACATTTAAATATGTAATAGGATTTCAAATAAACATTTTTGTTAACCATCAAATTTTCTTTCACAGGTTCTTTCATTTTTTGGAATTGGACTTTGAGCTGGTAGAGCCATGAGCAACTACAGTGTGTCCTTGGTTGGCCCAGCTCCTTGGGGTTTCCGGCTGCAAGGTGGCAAGGATTTCAACATGCCTCTGACAATCTCTAGTGTAAGCAAACTTCACAGATTTTATTACAGATGTTCATTCAATGCTTAGTCTTGGAAACCTCAGGGCTGAGTTGTTGAATTCTCTGGATAACCTGTACTCATTACAATTGCTTATGGGATTTGATCTCAGCAAACTTAGTTATGTATAATAAAGGATGTGGAGGGGAGGGAATTTAGCAAGGATAACTGATTTCAGTTAAGCTTATTTTCAGTTTCCCCCAATCTTATTACTGGGAAATGGAAAGTATTTGGAGGACAAATTTCAAATCTTTAAACTGTCACTAATTTGGGGAATTCTCTGGACTTCATATGTAATATTAGAAGATTGCCCTATGGGATTTTCATCGTTCCTTTCAACTCCAAAAGCTGTTAATTAAAAAAGTGTTGATCAATATCTAATAAAATGACTGTTTTTGGTGTTATTTCCTCAACTCCCTTTTGGTGAAGATGAAAGTCAACAGTAAAATTGCCAAAGGCTACTTACCTTTGAAGAAGAGTCTAGGGCTTGGATCTCCTGGATAATGGGCTTATAAATAATTGAGATTTGGTTGTTTACCTCATTACAGATTTAGTTTGAATGTATTCTGTGCATACAATTTAAGGATATGTTTTCATGGATGATGGTATTTTTTTGAGGCTTGACTATGTGTCAAACACTGTTTTACTTTCTTCTTGCTATCAATTACTTGTATAATGTTACAGAGGGCTTTTTTTTTTTTCCACAGACAAATAAATATGAATATCCACTCCCCTTTTACATATGGTAACATGTTATACACACTGTTTCATGTCTTTTGTTTTTCCTCAACAACTTAACCACAGAGAACTTTCCCTAGAGGTTTTGTTTTGTTTTTAAACAACTGTATAGAATTCTCTCTTAGGGAAGTAGCATTTATTTAGCCAGTCCTCCATGAAGGACTGGCATGTGTATTGTTTCCAGTATTGCTATTACAAACAGTGCTGTAGTAGATACCATATAAACATAATTTTTACACATATAGTTGACCCTTGAGCAACACAGATTTGGATTGTGCAGGTCCACTTACATGGGGATTTTTTTTTTCGACAACTATATGTACAATTCTGTAAATGTATTTTCTCTTCCTTAATGATTTTCTTTTTTTAAAAAAAGATTTATTTATTTATTTGAGAGAGAATTTGTGCGAGTGCAGGGGGTGGGGCAGAGGGAGAGGGAGAGAATCTCAAGCAGATACTGCTAATTATGGAGTGCTATGCACACCTTGCTCTCAAGTCCTTCAGATCATGACCTGAGCCAAAGTCAAGAGTTGGATGCTTAACCGACTGAGCCACCCAGGTACCCCCTTATGATTTTCTTTCTTTCTTTTTTTTTAATATTTAATTATTCATGAGAGATACAGAGAGAGAGGCAGAGACACAGGTGGAGGGAGAAGCAGGCTCCCTGCATGGAGCCTGATGCGGGACTCAGTCACAGAACTCCAGGATCACGCCCTGAGCAGAAGGCAGACGCTCAACTGCTGAGCCACCTAGGTGTCCCCCCTTTATGATTTTCTTAATATTTTCTTTTTTCTAGTTTACTCTATTGTAAAAATACAATATATACAAAATATGTTTTAATTGACTGTTTATGTTATGGGTAAGGCTTTCAATAAATAGTAGGCTACTAGTAAAGTTTTGGGTGAGTCAAAAGTTGTATGTGGATTTTCCACTGTATGGGAGGAGTCAGTGCCCCAACTCCCACGCTGTTCAAGGGCCAGCTGTGTATGTGTGTGTGTATACATATATACATATGTATGTATATATGGACAAATACATATACAATTTTGGTAGGTTGTGCCAATTTATACTTTTGTGCAATGAACAAAAATACCTCCTATTCCACCCCCTGACAGCCTTGGCAGGAAACTTGGATTTTTGCCAGATGTTTTATGTGCATCATCTCATTTAATTCTCATGTCAACCTGTGAAATAGTGGTATTATGCCCATTGTACAAAACTGTTATGAGCTCACATGACTGGTATGGAAGAGCTGGCTTTCAAGCAATAATGCTATGCTGCTTCCCTAATAATAAATTTTATCTATAGATTGTTTCTTTAATTAGGTTGTTTCTCTAGTCAGGTATTTAGGAGTCTGTTTTGTTTATTTATGTGTATAAATATATGTACATATACTGCTTCTTACAATATACATACAACTTAATTTTAAAAGAAAAATGTTTGTAACACTCGAAAATTTCTGCTAAAATACTGCTAATCCCTGTTTACTAATGGAGATTTCCTTGTTTCTTGGCCATGAATTTTTAAAACAATTTATTTTATTTTTTAAAGGTTAATTTTAATTTAGCACCAACTTCTGTCTTGATTCCAGTTAATCAGAGTTTACAAGGAAATACATATATGTAATCCAGCCTCTAAGTCTTAGGACTTCATGGTTGAATGAAATTTTAAATGGAAAGCATCCATGTGAAAATATGTCTTATGATTTATTCCTGTTTGAGCAAGGCAATTTTTTTTTCTCTTACTGAAGATCTCTTATGAGGGAAGGAATGATATTTGAATATGTCTTATTTTTATGTTCTATTAACATTTTTTATATTAAGTTTGAATATCTTTATAGATAAAAGACTATAGAAAGTTATTGTTTAGTTTAAAATGCATCCAGTTTTGCTGGAAAAAAAAGTCAAACAAATTGACATCTAGTGAAACAAACTAAATAATCACTTTGTTGTTTGGTAACAACTGGAAATATAATGTGTAAATTTTGTGATACCATGCCTTTAAAAAAGTTTTCTGTGCTTCAGTTCCCTGGCAGACAGTTTGAGGCCTAGCTCCATGTTGAGATGCTGATACAACAGAACACTGTGTACATACATATGTGCCCTCCCCTGGCACAGGAGAAATGCTTTCCTTGTGTAGACAGAGTGCTAATTAAAGGATTTTGAACATACTGATTAAAAGAGACTACGGTAACAAAGCTGCTGAGTTATTTCTGTTCTCTTACAAAAGTCTCTGCCATCTCCTCTGACCTTTTTGGGCCTTGTGCAGTGGGGCATGCAATTCATTCTGGACTGGAGAGGATGGGAAGGGGAGGGGAGGAGTGGAGGGAATGTTGGCTCAACTGTGCTGCTAGGCTGTTGGCTTTCATTGTAGTTACTTTTAACCCCTTGTGTGGTTCAGTTCAAACATGCCTAGTAGTAACATTGCCTAATAAAGATGCATGCCTAATAACTAATTTATATTGTTGTGGTAGGATTAGTAACATTATACCTCATCTTACTTAGTTCCCTAGTTGTGTTTAGTTTGCCTTAATTATGTAAAATTATTGGGATGTATTTCTGTGGTCACTGGATTGTTTAATAGTGTCAAGAAGTAATTAAACCTTTTTTTTCTTTTTAAAGATTTTATTTATTCAGAGAGAGATATCACAAGCAGGGGGGTGGGATAGATGGAGAGGCAGAGCCAGATGTGGACTCTATCTCAGGAGCAGAAGGCAAATTCTTAGCCTATTGAGCCACCCATGTGCCTAAGAAGTAATTAAAACTTGACAGCATGGGGATCCCTGGGTGGCGCAGCGGTTTGGCGCCTGCCTTTGGCCCAGGGTGCGATCCTGGAGACCCGGGATCGAATCCCGCATCGGGCTCCCGGTGCATGGAGCCTGCTTCTCCCTCTGCCTGTGTCTCTGCCTCTCTCTCTCTCTCTCTCTCTCTCTCTCTCTCTCTGTGACTATCATAAATAAATAAAAATTAAAAAAAAAACTTGACAGCATGCTTTAAAAACATATAATTTAGTGATTCTCTTATTTTATTTTATTTTATTTTATTTATTTTATTTTATTTTATTTTATTTTATTTTATTTTATTTTATTTTTATTTTAATTTTATTTTGCAAACACACGAGGGTTTATTTATAAGCTCGAGCTTGGGTCCAAGTATACCCGACACAGCGGAGCAGGGACTTGGACCCTCTTATTTTAATAATATGTATGAAATTCTTAGGGTCTGGCACATGGTATTCTCTTAGTTATAATTACCATAATATTATTACATTGTAATATTATTAATATATTATTATAAAATTAAAAAAAATATTTAGTCTTGAAATATCAAATGCCCCATAATTGTGGGTAATGTAGTCTAATTTTTTTTTTTTTTTTACTTAGAGTCTACTGGAATTGAAAGAGGAAAAAAAATCACAAGTTTGTGCTTAGCTAGGAACCTCCATGTTTATGTTTAGAGTTTAGAAGCATGCTTTGGTCATGTAATGCCATGTGGAACTCCACAGGGCTATTTATGTTCCCTATAACATTGGAACTCTGTGACAGGGAATGTTTTTGTGATAAGTAGGCCATTGGCTGGGACTTAAGCATTGTTTTCTTGAGATTTTGTTGTTACTAGCATGATAACATGCTATTTTGTTCAAACAAGTGTATGAATATGCTGGATATGACTTTGTGCATTAAAATATGCAAACCATACAGGTTTTTTTGCAAACTATACAATTTTAACATTTTGTATGGATTTGCCTATTATGTATAATGTATAATTTTTGCATTCTTTTTTAGGAGGTAGGTTTCTAAGATGAGATTGGTAATTCCTGCAAACTTTAAAAAAGATCCTCAGATTACTGTAACTATATAATCACATGTCATTCTCTTCAGTTTCCTATTCTTAAAATGTAGTGCTGGCTACAGGAGTTTATAGGCTGCCTTTTTATGACCCTGTATTTATGGAAATGCCTTGAAGCCATGGAATGTGGGGATGGGTTTCATTGGAGCAGTGTGGGTTATTGGTCTTTGCCAGTATATTTTATAAGAAGAAATAGGAGACTTCTTGCACAATTCAAGGCCATATTTTGGCAAGTTGACTTTCCTCATGATGGAAATACAGGAAGGATTATATATTTGTGAATAGCATGTCTTAAGTATGGCATCCTAAAGTTGCAAAACTCTGCTGTGTGTTGTTTTCTGATTTATGATGTTAGAGTTTTTTCCCTAAAATGTCCTTATTTGGGTTTCCTGAAGAT